TTTTCTACCCCACATCCGTGCCATGACCCGCTCTGCCTTCCCCCACCTCCGCAACATCGCCCGGCTCTGCCACTGTCTCACAACACAGGCCACCGAAACCCTCATAAACGCATTCATAACATCCAAGCTTGACTATGCAAACTCACTGCTTGTTGGCCTTCCCAATTCCTCCCTCCATAGTTGCAGATCATCCAGAACTCTGCAGCCTGTGTCCTCTCCCGCACCAGGCTCCTTGACCCTATCAACCCATTCTCGCCCGACTCCACTGGCTTCCCATCACACAGAGAATACAGTTCAAGATCCTGGTCCTCACCTTCAAAGCCCTCCATGGCCTCACTCCCCCCTACCTCTGCGACCTCCTAAACCTCTAGCAACCTGCCCCCTCCCTCCTCTCAATGGGCTCTGGCCTGCTTCACGTCCCCCACGTTGCCCGCCCCACCATTGGCAGACGGGCCTTCAGCCACTCTGCCCCTACCCTCTGGAACTCCATCCCACAGCCAACTTCAAGACCCATCTCAAGACCCTCCTTTTCAACCATATTTTCGATCACCCTCCATCCCACCCTGCCCTCCACTCTCCCCAATCCCAATCTCCAGCTCGGGTCCGAAACACTGACTGTCCAGCACCTTGGGACATCTAACATGAAAGGCGCTATACAAATGTAATTTTGTTGTTATGTCTCAATCATGACCAATGCGCAAACTGAGATATATCACTTCTTCGGTCCAGGTGCCAGTGTCATTGATGGGAGGCAGAGGAAAGAGGGAAACAATAGCAGGTATACCTAATTGTAAGAAGCTTGCAATTCTTTCTACAAAAAAAGGTAATCTTAATTGCAAGACAGTTTTCTCTGTTAAGTTCACATGGCCTCAAACCTTTGCTTGTAAGTCGGCAACCTGCTTCTGGACGTCAATCTAACCTTTGGACTAATTGGGTAGAAGGTCAGACAAGCAGGACTACCCTTTACACATTTCTCTCTCCTGTGTTAGGAGATCCTGCTCAGCATTCTCCTCACCTTGTCAAACAAAATGGGGAACCAAGGAATGTAGGTTGAAAAATTGTATCCTTCATCGTGCACTGAGCCCAATCTTGCTGCCCTTCAAATGCAACTTAGTAATAAATACAAATGCTAATAAAATAATAATTTGATCAACTTGTTTGTGTGACATGGCGGTGTGCAATTGGCTGCCGTATTTCTCCCACAATATATAGTCAATCCACTTTACAGTATATTCTGTGAAGTGCTTTGAGATATCTTGAATACGTGATATGGCACTATATCAAATGCAAGAGTTATTATTATAACTTACCTTCATGCTCTTGTCCAGGCTTGTCGCTGAAATCCCTGCAGTCCTGTTCCCACCATTAGATGGTGAGATTTTAGCCACTTCAGCTCCCTCTCTGGAATTCTCTGGCGATCTCCATCCCTCCTTTCAAAACCCATTTAAAAATTTCTCTTTGACCATCTCCGTCCTATACTCCTATCTCACACATTGCTCAGGCCCACACTTAGTCTGTAAAGTACCTTGAGGCATTCTTCTTCAAGAAATGTATCGTATTAAATCCAAATTGTTACCCATCAAATAACACAAACAGCACCAGAAACAAAGTGTCGTAAGATTATAAAGTTAAAGCAAAATAAAACAAGAGGCCAAATAACTGTAAATAGTGTGAAGGTGCTATATAGACACAAAAAAACAGGACTATGCTGATTTTTTTTGTAAAGGAAAGAACTTTTAATATCGACTTTGACAATACAACAAAAAAGTAAAGTACTTCTGACATGAGCAAATCACACAATTTAAACTTTTCCAGTCGAAATCAAGCAATTCCATCTCTCGACAATTTATCAGCACCATTGTGCCAGTGGCTGCCTCGATGCGGGAGTCTTTTTAGTTAAGACAAGGTCATGGCAATAGCCAGAAGACTTCAGAACTTATTCTATACAATACAACATTCAGAGACAATCCCTTTCTTTTCTTCCTACAAAAGATCCAGTTTGATTTTAAATTGCCTGTGGGAATAAATCATGCATCGTCACGTTGTTCACAAGTTAGGTTAGGTCACAACAATGTGTCAAATTATGTCAGTTCTGATTGATTTACAAAGTGCTCATTATGATTTTCAACTTCAAAACCTTGTGTAATAAACTTATTAGAGAGAGACAAGAAAATATTAAGTTGATTTTTGTTAGATTAAATTCCAATCCTATTAGTAACATTTCGCTACAGAATTAAGATGGATAGATTTGCACAATTTACAAGATCGTCACACAGAACTCAGTATGAATTGCTTTGAATATTTTTAATGCCTCAGTTTCTCAGATATTCTAAGAAATGAGAGCCATGTCTAGAAGAAAGAAGATCAAAGTTTACATTATAACTGATACTGAAATAATCCACTACAATATTCCTGTCCTCCCATGTTGAATTACTTTGAGTGGCAATTACTCACCTACAAAGATTAAATTTAAATTGAGTTTATAGAAAAAAAATTACTTTTAGGCACTGACTTCACTGACTTAAGAGTTTCCAAAAAGCTTTGAGTTCTTTACATTTCACAGGCAGAGCTTAAGCACAGACAATTCTTAAACACTAATCACAGCATGCAAATCCCACTATGGTCTATTTACCTTCTATTAATCTTCTTAGAAGATTAACCTTTTATTAGTGAAAAGGCAAAATACTGCAGAAGTTGGAAATCTGAAATAAAAACAGAAGTCCCTGGAAGCAATCAGCAGTGGCATTGACTAAGAGTTATGGCAGTCATTCAAACTGGTGAATCAACAAAATAAATCTACTACTGGCAACATCTTACAATTTGTTCTGTGGCTAACATCTCTCACTGAATCTCAGCAGGTCTACAGAATTACTTATGGAATGCTACTTATGGTTCCGTCTTTAATATTACAATTTATTCATGTAAATAGTGGCTTATTTTGAATCGTATGATTTAGTAAAGGCAAAATAGATAAAAATCAGGTTGTATGCTCTTAATAAAAATTCTGGAAATCCAAACCAAAAACAATAACTAGCACTTATATACCAACCTCCACGCAGGATAGTGTCTCAGAGCGCTCAAACCACCCTGTTATTCAAGGGGATTGTATTTTAATAACTTTCAAGACAAAAGCAAACATCTGAAATACTCTAATTCCCAATGTATTTTTACAAAAATAAACACTACAGACTTGTGAAAAAAATTATTTAACATAAACATTTTGAATTTATGCAGGCACATAAACGAAAACAATTAAAATGGCACAATATTTCTGAACTAGCTTACTCTCTCTTTACACAATTACATGTTGTGTGTATAAGTGAAATGCAGACTGCTGTGCAAGGTTCTTCCCCAAGTTGCAAACAAATGAATTGCAATCTATTTAAATGCTACACAGAATTGATTTTACAATATAAATCATATAGTGAAAATTTTCCTGGCATGGAATCATGATCTTGCATGAATTTGTTTAAATTGTTAAACAAATTCATGCAAGATCATGATTGTATGCCAGAGGGAAAAAAAATTAAAAAAAAGAAAGCATTTATCTACTTGATAGGAAATAAATTAACTTTCTTTCCTGAATATGTACTGGAGTGAATGTTTTAATAAATACTGTATATATTAAGACTTTGGGCAAGTTAACTGATGCCCAGGGATACAAAATACAAAATACTACTACAGCAAAACACTGTTAGCAGACTAATTGCAAAGAAGGAATTGCTTAACTTGTTTACTTCAATTTAAAATGGTCTTCAGGTTTCCTGTTAAAAATAATTACTCAAACAGGAATCTACTGTCGTGGAATAAAGCAATCATTGGGTTGCTAAAAACAGGAACCTTTAGAATTTTGTATCATAATATTCAATTAAATATTTAAATGGTAAGTGCTGTCCACCCGGCTGCCCAGAACACCATGCCCACCGTTTCCGAACATTCGCTTCTGTAAAAAAACACTCTTTGGCCGTTTTCAAGGTAAACCTGAAGGTATTGGACCACTGGATGTCGATCATGTATAGGGAAGCCCAAAGTTCTCCAGATTGCTTCATTGGTGCTCACATATCAGCCCATCTGTTAGTATGTTATCTCGTCTCTTCAGGCTTCCTCCCTCTCGAGTCCAAACACAGCCATGTCGCATTCCTTGTTGAAACACAGCCATGTCGCTGTAGTGTCCACCCTGCTGGCTGCACAGGACACAGTGTTGTCTGCATGGCTGCACAGGACAGACACAGTGTTGTTTGCACAGCTATACAGGACACCGTGCTGGCCTCACAGCTGTGCAGGACACCCATATGCTGAACAGAAATGACTGACAAAAATGAAGTTAAATGTGAGAAGAGACATTACTGACCTACTGCTGCACTATATGAATCAGATTGCAAACCTACGTACATAAATGAAATACAATATAAATTTTGTATGGAAGCCCAACCTCAGTTAATATCCCTTATCGTGTTCAACATGTTTTAATCCAATGGATATATAAAAAGGTCTACATATGTTTTATACATTGGTTGTCGAGCCACAAATGAAAACTGTTGGGAGTAATCGCACCAATTATTAGGTTTGTTGCTACCTCCATTGAGCCATTATTCATAGTAAATATCCGTTTAATGACCCAGCACCTGGTGCAAAATGCACATGTATTAGATAGTAGCAGTACCTTAACCTTGAAACTGAGGAAACAAATTATGCAAATTCTGTTTGATAAATTACATTGGCATAATTTGGTAAAACTAAAACAAATACACTTAAGCTTTTTGGGAAAGACATTGGTTAAAAGGGTTACCAGAGGTTGGCAAATCTCATTTAAGAACAAGTCATGCAATACACAAAAGGAAAAATAGATAAATCTGCTGTCTGGCTTTTCACCCAACGAATAACAAACTTGAATTACTCTTGCCTTACGAAATACAGTGTTAGATCAAAGCAAGTGAAAGCTTTTAGGGATAGAAGTACTGTAGCTAGAACAAAAAAAAACAAAATAATAGAAGCAAAAGGAAGATTAGTTTTTTTTATTTCAAATGTCTCATATATATCTTGTGTTATGGTTGATATTCCAGTAATCAAACCATCCCAAACTTTATTTCTTTAGTCATAGTGGTTTTCTTTACAGTCATAGTGAGTGAGCTGAACTCACAGTATAAAGAGCCTTACAGCAATCTAATATTGCAGTATAGCAATGTGAAGCAGGTAGGATTTATATACTTTCAGTTTTCAATTGCGGCTTAAGAAGCCCCTGAAATTATACTGGAGGAAAATAATTCTAAAGGCTGTATTTGTGCAATATAATAAACACCTGATGCAAAAAGAGTAATCAGCGACAATTGCTTTTTGCTGTCCAGTTTTAGTCCTGTATTAATCAAACGTGAAACCTATCACAAACAAGACCAAATAAAGCATCTTACATTGCACTGGAACAATCAGACGTGAAATCATTTAGTACACTGAGTTCCAACAAAAGTGAACTCCATCCTAGACCTTTCTTGCTACATATTTGTACTTTTGTTGGTCCATGCAAGTAGTGTCAAACTGATCTCGTCGCAAGGCTTATTTAAGTTAACAATGTTCACTTGCTGGGCCTCACCAAGAAATCAGCAGCAGAATGATAGCTGAATACATCAACCAGCTTGTTTCAACAGTAAATCAATCAAGATAATTGATTTATCTTGCTCCCTTAAATGCCATTTGCATTGCGCATAAGGGTACATTTCTACTATGAGTCAATAAAAGTTGGAAATGTTTGATGCTCGTTGAAGAAAAAAAATCACATTTGAATGATCTTACTTAGAAGATACCCTGGTCCTCAAATACACAACGTTAAATACAATCGATTTTACGGTACCTTATGTTTAAGGGCAGTCCGTTTACCTGAAAACAGATGGTGTGAATGTGCCCTGATTGACGGCTTTGAATTTCACTGACAATTTTATAAAAAAATGATTGAACAACTACAAATTTACTAGCTAAAAGCCCACCATCTAAAACCTACAAGGCTCTAAACCCATATGCTGTACATCAAATGTAAAACATTCCCTTAATTATCCAAACTCAGAGCATTGAAAAATAGCGTGGACAGTTAAAATATATACATCACATATGCCCGGCAGTAAAATCTTCCAAATTTCATGTTTTAAATGAAATTGTTTGATTAAATGTATTTAAATTTAATGGTAAGAGCAAGTAATAAATTAAATGAAGTTCATGCTTTTTGCTGTATACATTAAATCCTGCTACAAATCCAATATGATGAATACAATCTCTCTAAAGGCACAGTTTTAAATTGCAATGCAACCTCAAAATAAAGCACAATGTTATTACCACCACAAAGATCCCAATGTTTCTATGTAGCATTTTATCCTGTTTTGAAAAATATACAATGTTATAACATTCTTTGTCTCAGTGAACTGTAAAACAGTGGATCGATCATACAAGACAAATGCAAACCAAAATGGATAGCAGTTTTGTTTCATCAACATGGCAGTGTCAAAGTTAATATTTCACGATTAAAAACGTGCAGGTCCTACAGTTATGGTACTCAATTTCCGCCACTATAGATAGCGGAGATACCAATGGATATACCAGTGAGTACTTTACTGATATTCTTGCAGTAACATAAGTATCAGTAACATAAGGGCTTACACTTTTTTTGCAGCAGCAGCAGACAACATACAATGTCAATAATCTTGATGCAGACATCAAGGAGCTTTATGAATTTGGTTTTTAGAAAGAGCATCATCAAACTCGCAGTCCTTCTGTTGTGAAGGGACTTTTTCATAAAGTTGGTAAATAGCAGTCATATTAAAAACAAGGTTGTAGCTCATAATAAAAATAAAAATAATTACCATGTATGACAACATTAAGACAGAAATGGCAGGGATGTATCTAGCCAATATTTTAAAAAGTACATTAAATACCAAATTGAATACATTTTCTTAATAGTAATCTCATTTCGTAATATCTCATGATTACAAACATGGTTAAAAACATGGGCTCACATTATCACCAGATTATCTCTACTTGAATTTGTGTAAGGTTTCTTTTTCCAGGGGATCAATTGCTCCTTGATGTTACAAATATGTGGTCCTTTTATATCAGGATTTCTGAATGTCAGCATAAACCACACGCTCAGACTTATAGATCTTCTTTGACTGTTTTCCTCCAGAGTGGTCAAGTTCTGCATAAATTATCGGGCCCTAAAGTTAAGAAAAGGAAACAGTTATTCAAAGGTTTCAATGACTCTTTGTTGTTCAACTACCAGTCTTAATATCAATTTTAGGGCCTTCATTGGTGGTTTGGTTGGTTAAGACACCGAAAGTGTGAAAATTAAATAATAGAGAAAAGCGAGGACCCAGGTTTGATTCCAGTCTCTGTTAATTAGCCAATCTCACTCAGGGCAGTGTTAACACACAGCACGATAATTGGCTTCAGTGTCTAGAGCTGCAAGGAGAGTGGAGGTAAGAGTCAGCTGGAAATCCTGTTCCCCAGTGCCAACAGTGACTCCTGCTGAAAAGCCCATGCAAGGATATCAGTGAGGAGAGAATTAGGCTGATTTTTAATGCCCCCCCATAATTGCGTAATCTGTTGGTGGGCATCACAGTTTGATCTTACACATGAAGACCACCTAACAATGGGATCATACCCTAGTGTGAGGATACTTTTAATTTGGGGAGTGGAAGAAAGAAGATTGGAGGAAAATTATTGCAAATACAGTATACAGTTCGTATTTTCATCAACAGCACTTTAACAATAGAGCTATCGGTGATCCATTTAACAAGTTGTCCCAAAGTGTGCAAATTTACGTCAGTGGTGGTTTCATGTGGTCAGAGTGTTGTACGCAGAGAGTTGATTTTTATGTGTGGTACAGGTGGATTTGATTCCTAGAAAAGGCTTTCACTAGTCAAGTATCAACGCGTTGGTTCAGAGTACGAGCATAATGGACCCCAAAAGGATTACATTACTCCCAAAAATGTATCCTTCACATTTATCCTCTCCCCAAGGCATTCGATTCCTTTTCTACTGGATGGGTACCACAAGCACCGATTGTCCTCTGGTACCTGGTAGAACCTGCCATTATTCATGTGTGAGCCTGAAGAGAAAGTGGCTTCATTTGATTGCTTCCAACGGGTTCTTTTTTAATGAAGTAAAGAGCAAGCAAAAATCTTAATAATGAATCATAAGTATGCACTGTATTCTTCAATGCGTCCTCAGAGAGAGAAAAAACAACTTTCCTTCCGTATGTACGTCTCAATTATTCAAATTCGACCAACTACTTTCCAAGGTCACACAAGCAGATGATCAATTGTGTACTTTCCAATTCTTGACTTCCTTGATCTAAATGTATCCTGAGATCAGCATTGCTAACTGGCTATTTATCTTGTAAATTTCTATGGTTCTATGTAATAGTGAGAGTCTGTTCCACACATTCCCTACCCTGTGGGAAGATAGTATTTTAGATCTCTGGTCTCAATTATTGTAACTGTGTACTCCAGGTCTGCACTCACACTTCCAAGTTAAATGGTCTATTAACATCTTATCTACAATTCTCAATGTTAAAAGACCAGAATCATGTTTCTTCTCAATCTTTTCCCTAATGAAAAAAAAGATTAGTTCAATGTTACATTAGAATTTGATGAGAAATCTATCATGACACAACAAGGCCGCTTATTAAAAAAAGCGGTGCCCGATGTTGAGTCGTTTCGACAAATTTGGTTCAGCAGATCTTCTTAATACATATAAACAAAATGGTGAAGGCCACGGCTAGGTGTTTTTTTTTTAGAAATTTGAAAATGTGTTTTTTTCTGGTGCAGCATTTAGAAAAACAATGGAGCTGCACTCAAAGATAGTAAATGCCATCTCACTAATTTAAAAAAAAATCCAAGAGCTGAGCCTGGAAATTATACTCTGGACACATAAACATCTGTACTGGGAAAAAGTTTCTCAAGTATTATGACCAGTCACTGAGGCCAGGGAATCCCACTCAGCTCCCGTTAATCCTGCAAGCCAAAGCCGTAAAGGATAGGGTGGTCCTAGCAGGACAAGCAGCAGAAAAGCTTGCCCGATAGTGATATCAATGGCAAACTATGTGGTTTTAGCTGGTTGAACTCCAGAAGTACCCCCAAAACACACTGGGGTCCACAAACCTTGGCTGATGCCTACCTGCGGCTAATACTTTCTGGAATTAGGTAAGCAGGGTGTATCCCTCCAACAATTCCAACAATCTATCTCTGGGATTTCCATGTATAGGTGGAATGCATGGAATTCTCAGTTTGGTTTGGATACTCTAAAGCATGGTGATGGGTTTCTGCAGGTGTCAAACACTGGCTGACCAAACAAACAAAAAAATTCTTAAGACCAAGTTGGAGCGGAGTTCCATCAGGTCAGTGTGATGCACGTTTGGTTCCTCCAGGAAATACAACAACATTTCATTTATAGAGCACCTTTCACGTCGGGAGGACGTCCCAAGGCGCTAGACAGTTGGGTCAGGACCCGAGCAGGGGGGAAATGGTCAGGGTGAGGGGAGGGAGGGGAGGGAGCGAGGAGTGGGTAGAGAGTCGAGAGGGGAGCTGAAAGCACGGTCAAAGAGAAAGGTCTTGAGACCGGCCTTGAAGGAGGAAAGGGAGGAAGCAAGGCAAAGGCACTGGGGGATGGAGTTCCAGAGCCTAGGGGCTGAGAGGCTGAAGGCCCGGCCACCGATGGTAGGGCGGTTGGGGCAGGGGATGTGGAGCAGACCGGAGCCAGAGGAACGGAGGGTACGGGCAGTTAAGTAGGGGGATAGTAGCTCGGAGAGGTAGGAGGGAGCAAGGCCGTGAATGGCCTTGTAGGTGAGGAAGAGGATCTTGAATTCGATCCTCTGGGGGATGGGGAGCCAGTGGAGGCGAGCGAGGGTGGGAGTGATGTGGTCGTGAAGCCTAGTGTGGGACAGTACACGAGCTGCAGAGTTCTGAATGACCTGCAGCTTGTGGAGGGAGGTGCCGGGAAGGCCGGCGAAGAGAGAGATCCCGTAGTCCAGCCTTGAGGTGATAAAGGCGTGGACCAGAGTTTCAGCATCGTGAGGGGTGAGGTAGTGCCGTAGTCTGGCGATGTTTCGGAGGTGATGGAAGGCGGTGCCAGTTGTGGCGCGGATATGAGGAAGAAAGGACAGCTCAGGGTCGAACAGAACGCAGAGGTTCCTGACTGGCTTTGAGAGGTGGAGAGTGCAGCCTTGGATGCTGATGCTGTCAGCGCCTGAGGTGCGGAGGCGCTGACGTGAGCCAATCAGGAGGGCCTCAGTTTTGCGCACGTTGAGCTGAAGAAAGTTGTCTCTCGTCCAGGACTCAATGTCAGACAGGCAGGCTGTCAGGACATCGGTGGTCGTGGAGTTGAGGGTAGAGGAGGAAAGGTAGAGTTGGGTGTCATCCGCATACATGTGGAAGTTAACCCCATGTTTGCAGATGATGTCACCATGGGGGAGCATGTAGAGGATGAAGAGGAGGGGACCGAGGACAGAGCCCTGAGGGATACCACACGAGACAATGCGGGGGCTGGAGGAAAAGCCATTTGTGGAAACAAAATGAAGACGGTGGGAGAGATACGACCTAAACCACTCAAGGACAGGGCCTTGGGACGTCCTCCCGACGTGAAAGGCGCTCTATAAATGGAATCTTGTTGTTGTTGTTGTTGAAGGTTGAGGTGGGAGGACAAGCGGTGGAGGAGGATAGCGTGGTCGACCGTATTGAATGCTGCCGATAGGTCGAGGAGGCAGAGGGAGCCCTGGTCGCAGATGGTCAGGATGTCATTGGTGACCTTGACCAGGGCAGTTTCTGTGCTATGGGCAGCACGGAAACCCGACTAAAGGGGTTCGAATAATGCATGGGTGGAGAGGAAAGAGCGCAGCTGGGAGGCGACAACTCTTTCAAGGACCTTGGACAGGAAGGGGAGGTTGGAGATGGCCGGTAACTTGATGGCTGCGACGCATCAAGGGAGGGTTTTTTCAAAGTGGGAGTGATGGTGGCAGTTTTTAGGGGAATGGGAACAGAGCCAGAGGAGAGGGACAGGTTGACGATGTCTGTGATATGTGGGGCAAGGAGGTGGAGCTGAGAGATAAGGAGTGGAGTGGGGATGGGGTCAAGGGAGCAGGTGGTGGGTTTCAGGGACAGGATGAGTTTGGTGACAGAGGGTGGGGAAACGGGTTCGAAGGTGTGTAGGGGAGGATGGGTAGGAGTCGTAGAAATAGGGTAGAAATATCGGAGATGAAGGTGGGAGAGGTTTTAGGGGGCCGGTAGAGGAGGAGGATTTTGAGTGAGAGGAAGGAGGGGTGGGAGAGAGTGAGGTGCTCAAAAGAGGGGAAAGAGCCAGAGGAGTAGGGGGATAGGGCAAGTGGTGTCCTTGAGATAAGGGCTACACCACCGCCACGGTGGTTGGGGCGAGGGATGCGGTGGGAGGTGTAGCCGGGTGGTGTGGCCTCCGTGAGGGGGAAGGTGTCGCCTGGCATGAGCCAGGTTTCCGTTAAGGCCATAATGTCAACTCTCTCATCAAGGATGAGATCGTTGATGACCAGGGCCTTGTTACAGAGGGAGCATTCGTTTTGTAGTCTGATGTGGAGGGAGCGGTTGACAGAAGGATGTATGGGGAGGGAGGGGGGTCCAGGTTGTGAGGCAGGGTGGGGGGAATGGGGATGAGGGAGGAGAGGTTGGCTCCCCGGGTCTGTGTCTGTGGCGAGTGTGGTGGAGAATGGGGCAGTCGGTGTGGCTGCTGCTGGACAGCCAACGCCGAGTGCCACGGTGAGCCCGGCGGAGGATTCCTAGGCTGGAATAGAGGGAAGTTGTGGGAGGGTCAAGTGGGGATAGAAGGCGAGGGGGACGGAGAGAGAGGACAGAGTGGGAGAGATGCAGAGGGGGGGAGGGTTTGGGGGGAGAGAGGAGGGGGGAGGGAGGGAGGGGGTGAGGGGGCTCGGGTCAGAGCGGCAGCCATAATGCGCACGCGGGGACCGGGAGGGAGCGGTCAGGTGGATGGCATTAGCCCATAGGCTGGGGCTATAAATAAAAAGAACTCATAAGATAATCAGACAGGATATTTTCATAGGATATGGAAAAGGATTTTTCCTGTTATTGATGTCAAGACAAACAACTTCAAGGCCAATGGCCAAAGGTGACTTGATTTTATTCCAGTAATGCGTGGAGAAGTTAAGAGTGTGGAACCAGTCCGAACATTTCCTGAACTTGCATTTAGTTTTGCTGCCTAAAATATCGGAATAAATGAAGACAATAATCGCAAAGAATGGAACACTTTCTCTTTAGTTTGTCTGATGTCCACATGAAATAGACCTAAGCATTTATTCTATAATCAGTGCTGTCAAAAGCTTCACACTAATAACATTTCTAAATTGAATATTAAATCATGTTAAACTTCTCTTTAACTAGCGTGCTGTTTCTTTTCTCTCCACCGAGTTTGTAAATTTGGGGTTAGAGTCCCTTTATGGGAATTAGTTTTTGTTCCTTGAAAAGACTGAGTTCAAATCTAAAACCTGACCTAGAAGACAATGCTGCCAAGTCAACCAGAACAAAGAAAGTATTTGACTTAATGGCATTTGCAAACACAAATGTTGTACTTTACTTTTTTTAAAAAAGGACTTCAATTCGAAATAGTCAATTGAATATTAGTTTAAGGATTACTCCTGTACAAATGTGTACAAATATGTAAACTGCAGGTAGACTGAGAATGCTTTCAAACTAAAGAGATGAAGTAAAATGTGTGTTAAAAATTCTATCAGATGACCTTTTTCTTGGGCGCTGACCAAAATAATTTCTTCTGGCTTCCCAAGCGATGCAAATGGAGGAGGAGCTAATAAACCAAACAAATATTCTGTCCAACTGAATTCCAAATAAATAAAAGCAAATATAAATCATACCTGGCGTGGGCCAACAGAAACACGAGTCACTGAGTCTGACTCGAAGGTATCTGCTGACATCTTCAGCGGTTCTTCGGTTGGTGAGACAATTTCTATGGAGCTGCCAAGAGCCATTTTTTCAGCGCACATTGTAGCAGAAAGCAAGCATCAGCATGCAGCAACATATGTTGGGGGGTGGAAAAAGGAAAGCAAATGCAAATGGTATGAGCTGCTAAGTAAATGAAATACATACACACTGACACACACACACACTACAAAAATACCTTGTACTTAAAAGCACAGACTTGCAAACAAATTAAGCTTTGAAAAACCCACTTTGTGAAACATTACCTCTTCTAGTATACTAAAATAAATCATGTTTGCTTTTCCTGATTTTTAAAAAAAATGACAAATAAGATTTCCAGACAATACAATTACACACTGGGTAACTTTCACAAGTTTGTGTGCAAGAATGGGTTTTTCAAAACATTACAAAAAAAACGTAATACATGCAACAAACCTACAACAGTACACATTATCAGGGATTTGCAAAACGTTTGTACCTTCCTCAGAGTCAGGCATATCAAGGGTTGTAGGATAATAATTCATTAATGGAAACCGCATATTTGTGCAATTTATGGTGAAAAATAATCTATGAAATATATGAATATTTAAAACTTCCTTAACTACAGAATAGTTATGTTTCATGACATCAGAAGTCTTTTGTGTGGAACTTTGTTAAAAGCTTTCTGAAAGTCTAAATATGTCATAATAAAGGAAATATCACTATCTAATTTATATGTGACATCCTCAAGTGAAACATTTGTCAGGTATGATCTTTCCTTTCAAAATCCATGCTTATCATTTTAAATTGTTACTATACCAGACGTTATTGTTTTACACTTTATTGATGTGAAGCTAATGGGCCTGAAATGATCGGTTTTGTCTTCCTTTTAAAATATAGATACTACATTGACTGCTACCAGTAATTCAGAATCTGGATCAGTGCTAAACAATCTGTGATGATTACCATTATCTGACCAATTTCCGTACTGGTCTCCAAGTGCGATTGGAGACTTGCGATTTACTCACAAAGAAAAAAACACCACCTGGCCCAGGAACTTAATATGTTTGGGTAAGTTAAAAGTTAAGTATTTTGTGGTATAATATAGAAATTCTTAGCAGATCCCTTTTCAAATCTACTTCTCTTTGCTACTGACATATCTGCTTTCAAAAACCCACACTCTGTGTGAATGTGCCTTCAGTCACAATTCTCTCCCATACTTGCTTAGCAATAATCGTTCCCATTGTTAAGCGCTCTTGAGAAGTTCTTTTATAAAAATAGTGCTCAATTGCAATTTTGTGGTGGGGTGACTACTTAATATTACCTTTGCTAGTGAATAAGTCTGAAAAACATTTCAGCTGTTTTACTGTCACTCCTACTTCATTGTTCTAATTTATAGAAGTTTGCTCTGATCTTAAGAGTCAGGGATTTTAAGATGTGGTTAAATTTCCAAACAAAAATATTGTGGTCACTGGTTCCTAAATGAACCTAGGCACAAGTCAGATTTGAAATCAAGTGAGTTGATAGTGGAATGCAATCACTGAAGAGGTATAAACTCTACCCTGGGAAAAAATGAACACCAAACAAACGTATTTTGCAAATCCATGCTAACTACCTAATTCAACTGACGAGTGAATTAAAGTGTATGGAGTTCAAAGTTGATGTTAAGATAGAGATAGTGCCTTCAAAATGGAAAAATCACTCAGCACTCAGCCCCTCCAAAAGTCAAAATCAAACTCCTGCACTTCCAATTCAGCCCCGATCAGTCATTTGTAGAAATACGTTTAAAAATGTAGTTCCCCCTCCAGTTAAATATTTGCGGGAAAAAATTGGCTACGTTGTGTCACAGTAGTGGGAAACAAGGGGATGCAACATCTTGCTCGAAACCAATCAGATGTCAGATTGATAAACATTATGTGATAAGATATCTGTATATTCTGACACAGAATAGGATACTTGGAAAACTGGGGGTAAAATACATTTTATACGGTACAATAACTCAGTGCTAAATTAGTCTCATACAGAGACCAACCATACATCACAAGCTTTTACACCAGTTTGCTTAGTCTCTGTTGAACTTATTTGAGACTCAAAAATTAGATCAAGTGATTTACAAATCAACTAACATTTGTAACTAGCCATGGCTGAAATATGTTAAAAGGAATTTTCAGATTTTGAAATTAAAGAAACTAAATCTTAATCAAGATTTAAGAGTAAGAATATATTTAGTTCCAGATTGTTGAGATTTCTCTTTTTTTTTGATTAGCTTTCAAACTACAGCTGTATAATCCAGGCTAATAATGGTGTAAAAACCTGCAACTGTAATGCAAACTACTGAAAACAAACAGAAAGTGATGCTTCATTGCCATAATGTTGCTCTGTGGCTTGTGACTGTTGAAGTCCAGTATCATACTCTTTGTATAGAGGCAAAACTCCTCCTGCTGGAACCAAGCTAAATCAAATAGGTAAATCACTTCACAGATGACTATGGAACACATGTTCTGCCCAGACTTCGGTTTATATTAGTTTCTACGTTAGCATCTCTTTCCTCCCCATCGCCCCAGATAACTAGCTCACCCACCTGTCAATACATGCCAAAGAGCACCTTAGTGTTCTTGTGAAAGAGGCTTCCATCAATTAAATGGCAATACTCGTTCATTCGCTTAAGCAAAGCCAGAGTATGCATTTCATCCAACAACGGGATTCCTACTCAAATCTCTGGCCACAATGCTTGTATCATGGCTTTCAACCATTCAATTTCCTCACTCAAATTTCATTGCAATACTACCATATGGATTTTTCCTTGCCTCCTCCCCTCTTCCCCCCAAAGCACCTCCAAGTTTTTTTTATTCCAATTGCAAGATAAAAGAATTTGTAATCTTTATTTTGCTGAATATGGCTACCACTTACTGGTATTCAGCATCAGCTCCTTTCATTCCCACTGAATTGCATGGAGATGAGAAATGGTAAAAGGAAAAGAAATATGCAAAACTTCTGAACAGGGCTGAATCATAGTTAACACTAAGATTCCAGGACAAAAGTACAGAGACTTCCTAAATCTTGGAACACAGCAGATAATTAAGTCTAAAGTTTGCCAACTATATCTGTACCAGAAAAACCCACGATAATGCTTAAATCTAGCCAAAAACTGGCCGACCCAATCTCTGGTTTCTTTTTTTAACTGGTTGGAGCCATGATAGAACCAAAGTTAGTGGTCAAGACCTTATATAACTTTCCTTTAGCCACATTTGCAACACTGAGTAATAATCATTCAAGGAAAATAAAACAAATCAGTCGCCAGCCAATGTTCTGCTGAAACAGACATAAAACATAATAATAACCTCTGCATTTGATTTAGCACTTTATCATATTGTTGAGATGTCTGAAAGTGCTTCACAGAATATATTGTAAAGTGGATTGACTATGTATTTTGTGCCAGTATATCCTGTGAAGCACTTTGAGACGTCTCGATGGCATGAAAGGCGCTATATCAAATGCAAAGATAACGATCAGTGCTTTGGGGCATCCTCCCGAGGTGAAAGGCGCTATATGAATGCAATTTATTGTTTTTGTATTTATAAATTGTACTTATCAACCAAAGAGAGCCATATTCCCCATATAATATACTACATCCATCATCACACAACAATAATTATGATGTACATATAACCATGATAGCAGGAGAAAAATAAAAGCCTCATGAAATTAGATCAAATGTTGTTATCAGTATGTGATAATCCATTGCTTTTTAAAAGGCATGGATTGTCACAGTAGTATCCATTGTCTAAATTAATATGATTAAGGACAAACACTGACAAACACTTGGTTACTTGTGCTTGACCAATTAGGACAAAAATGCAAATATAGCAATGAGTATTAGTAGCTAAGCTGAAAACTGGCATGCCATTGCAATTAATTGAATTAAAAGCAATCTTTATTGCAGTGCGAAGTCCTTAAATTTCTCTCATCCATGCATGAAAATAGTTCATATTGTGAACTTTAAATGCTTCTTTACTGCTTTGTGTAAGCAGTGATTTTATCACACCTACACCTGCAGACTGACTCTTCAATCAAATACTAATGGAAGACCTATCTAAGATTTTGCTCATTCTATTTGAACAGATTAACTGATTTATGTGGCAGAAAGTACAAAGATGCAACTGACATAAACCTTATGATTGAACAAGCCACAAAATCCTGTAATTTTTCAGCACCAATACTGTATTTATTACTTGTGTTAGGATGCAATACTAACCAGGTTCTTACTAATTTCACTTTCCCCAGATGCCAGGAGCAGAAGTAATCTAAAAGAACCCATTGAATGCTACAAGCTAGGAACTTTAAAAAAGATCACTTAAAAACAAACAGGGAACCACCTTTGATATTTTACCTATTCCACAATTGTAATGTAAAATAGTAAAATAGAAGTGCTCCTCAATGGCTCAATGTACCAACTGGTGGAGAACTAAACTATACAAATGAGGATGTGGACCCAGGTTTGATGCTTTGTGTCTGTTGAGTTATCCAATACTGTAACAGAAGCAGCAAGGCAGCTGCGGTGCAAAATGAATTAGCCCAATTGAACCTGAGCCTGGCAGTGGGGGGGAGGGGAAGAAAGAGGAAAAAGGAGGAAACAGTGTTCATGCAAACACTGATCATTATTCTGTATAGCTACTGTCAATTGTAAATATCGAGATTCTACAAGGCAGGATTAAGCTCCACCTCGAGCCCCTGCCCAAATGCTTAAACCATGTTCAGACACACTGGCAATATACCAGAAAAGAGGGGAAATAAAGGGTATTTATTCTAAGAAAGTACCAGAAAGTGAACAAGTAGTTATTCTTCAAGTCAGCCAAGACCTTACGTATCAGCAAACTATTTGACCTTGGAAGGCATCACAACACAGCAGAACCTGACTTCGCCATTACCCAATGGGCATACGCTCCCACTTTCCAGCTGAGATCACAGGATATGAATCCGAAGCAGAACAGTGGCTAATTCTTTCAATTCAAAACCCAGGGCACCGAGGAAACCTATAGCATCTTTACCATGACTGACATCAGCTTCTCTCTCTCGAACGTTTCTTCCAGTTTTGATGGCTAAACTGAGTAACTGCATCACGTGCCAAGGTACTGAGCCATAACCCTCATATTTAATTAAGCCCTGGTTGGTAAAAGCAGAGGGTTTCTGGTACCTATGAAACAGTATCCTATCTTCTCAGGTCAGGAAGAAGATAGTGGATCTGCTATTGAACTTTAGATTGCATAAACAAGACCTGCAACATTTCTTCACTTCCAAATAAAGATTGCAAAGCTTACAGATAGAGAGAGATGAGTTCAGAGGCAACAATAAAAGAATGCATTAGTGTCCGATGTGACTAAGTTATCAATCAGACCCTGGTTGACCTTGGAAAAAAAGGCCTACAAATAAATGTTAATTAATTTGAAGGCCATTCTGTGCAAAGTTCTTTTGTTAAAAAAGGTTGAAATATTTACTAAACCCCAAAATGTTGGAAAAAACAAATTATTGGTAGAAAATAGGATAAAAAAACATGCGGGTCAATGTAAAAACCTTTGGTAGACAAAATATTGCCTTTAAAACATGCATGCTTTGTTTGAAATACTGAAATAACACTGCGCTTGACAGCCAAAGGTTTCCTTCTTTTTTAGAATGCAACACATCTCGTGCAGTTCAATGTGACCAAAGACGACATTTATGGGTCTCATGCATACACAAGCCAAAAAAAAAACCTTTCAAAACTAGAAAATAACTACATTTAAAAGCACTGCATATCCTGGTCACAAAAAATTTATAAACAAATTTGACATTCAATTCAAAGAGAATGCTTAGTACTTGCATCCAAATAGAACAAAATAACAGCAGATCACATATTATGTGTCTGTTTTGTACATCTGCTAATTAAAAATAAATGTGTGACTTCAAGTAAGTGCACCCCATGTTCAGCAACCCTGATCTGAGTTTGAATTAAAAATAACCTAACATGATTTTAAAATTTAAATTAACCAAAATCAGAGTTAGAATAAAATGAATCCTAAAATATTAAATACCAAACATTTCCTCACAACATAAACGATGCCACAAGTTGCTTTTGGCTCTAAATTGACTTCTGGGAAACTGGAGATGACGACCAAAGAAAGTTTCAGCTCTAAACAAACAATGGAATGAGTTCATAATTCCAGAATGAAAACAGAAATTGATTCAATTCAAGGTTAACATTTTGAGACGTTTCAGAAAGAAAAATGTTAACATATTCATGATTTAGTCAAAGGTATATCCACAAACCTTTGGTTCTCTGTATATGTTCATTTAACCAGAATCCTAATTAAAGGGAAGTGGTTTGAGAAGGCAGGAAACAGCTGGGTGTCCCACCATGATCAAATATTTAAAGGGTGCTATTTCAGTTAGCAAGTTAAGAAATGCCAGCAACATCATCTTCCAGATAAATCAACACGTCCAAGTTAATTCTATCGCATGCCCATCTCTTAAATATGGCTAATGCTTCTGCTCATTCATTGGAAAATGTCAGGCGTTTTCTGTTGGCTGCTGTGAAGGTTTACTCAATCACATTTCACTGGACACAACCTGTTTCATTTCTCCAATATTACTGTGGTCAAATAATTGGTTCAATTGTTTTTGTCAGTTACTAAAAATAAATATTTTATATACATGATATATAATAAATACATACACATTAAAATAAAACACAAAACTAGCTCATCTAAATTATATATCAAATATCTGTGAACATTTGAACGAAGCCTGCAGAGAGTAAAATAAGTAGAAGGGTTAAATTTCACACAATATTCACATTTGTTTTTTTTGAAAGGGACAGGGGAAAAGACGAAAACCTTTTTAAGCTTGACCTCATGAATGACCTGGAACTTCAAGTAGTACCAGATTTACTGGTAAATGACCAACTATTAGTAATAAATTGATAGTAAAAGTCTTTCTTTACCCCATGTAGCCATTTCTTTTGTCCCCTTTCTTTTTCTTGACACAGTACACAACGATACCAATAAGGACAATAATGATAATTCCTGCAATGACGGCACCAACAATGATTCCAGTCATGTTATAAGGGAGGGAGCCTAGAAGAAAAAAAAATTAAAAATTAATGGCACTTGAAGTAATTTAAATACCTATTCTTTGTGACACCCATACCAATTGATATTAAGACATTGGACTTTAAAAAACTTAAGTCATGAAGGTCAAAATTGAACTTACTATGAACAAATACCGTGCTTACTACAATAAGCCATGCAAAAAACTAACATCAAAATGCATTTTTGAAATAAAATGCAGAGAAATTAAAAAGTAACCAGAGAACAAATAGTATAAATACTACACAATTCAGTCAACAGAATGGCCCTAGTTAAAACATTCACAATGTTCACATGTACACATCATGAATTAGGTTTAACTAAAACTTTTTCTTACCTTTTTCAACAACACTTAGGCGGATTTTACCAGTGGTTCCACCGATGTCAGGTGGATTTGACACATCACAGGCAAAAGTTCCATTGTCTTTGAAATTAATATCTGCTATATTAATGGAACCATCTTTTTTGTTGATGTTGCCATGCCAAGTAACACGGTCTTTAAATCGAGATTCAGGTGCTACAAAAAATTTTCCTCCAGAATACTGGAAAAACTGTCACAGAAAATAAGTGAAACAGTAATTAAAGTTATATTTGAAAAATACAATAAAGGTTACTTTTAATAGTTAGATAAAATGTGCTCCTTAATTTTAAAGCAACACTCTCATCCTGGAGAGGGGTCCAACAATTTATAAAACAATAAGGGTAATAATAATAATAATTTGATAATCACCATATCATGTTTCAAAGCACTTCACACATAAGTATCCTGTATATGTAAAGCTTATAAATAAACACACACTTACATACCACACACACAAAGTTCACCTCAATTAACAATTTACGTATAATTTTCCAGGTATATGTTCAGAAAACATTATACAATAGATGTTAATACACACAAAAGCATTGTCAAATTGCATGCCATGCTAAGTATGGAGGTAATTTAAATTAAATGGATCAGTCTGTTGCACCTACTTCAGGTGATGGGATAAATAAATAAAATAAATATTCCAATAAATATTGTTAACAAACATGGTACCACAATTGTCTTTTTTAATGAAGCAAAAATACTGGGTTTCAAATTTTGGCCCATTTGCAAATATCATTTCCAACGATAAATAGAAGAGTCATCAAGAACTAACATTTTAAAGAACTAGCATTTTTAAAAGTTCCCGATTATGGTGAAATGGCTTACATTTCTTCATATATAAATTAGTAAAATGAAGAGATTATTGGTGAACAATCATACTAGGATTTGACACGTTGCCTAGAACACGTTTTATCAATGGTGCAAAATGCTTCACAGGTAATCACTGTCAAGAGTAGTGAACATATTTGTAGGCAAACAAGGGAAGTAACACCTCTGACAATGCAGCAGTGGAGTGTCAACCTACACAATGGATTTGAAGTCCCAACGTGAGGCTCGAAACACACGGCAGGTGCAAGAATTCTGTTAACATTATCAAAGTGGCAAGTAACATCAGACAGTGTCAAGAACTATCAATAAACATGATAGCTTAAGGTAGTACAGTACGGCCTTAAATGTTGTAAATTCCCACCACAGAATTTTTATAGATTAAAAAAAAAGTTGTTTTCAGAATGGAAGATGGTAGTTTCCGGCTGAAACGTTCCGACAAGAACATTTTCCTGCTTCCAGTAACCCGAGGTCAACAACAAGATCGTTTTGGGGGCAGTAAACCATAAATTTAGACACACAAAGACGCACTTGATTTGTGAGTGAATGATCCAGTTCTTGAGGGTTATTTTGGGTTCCCGGACAGAACATCCATCTGACAGCTCACCATCTGCTGCCTTGACCCCCTCCCCACCCAGCTCCTGATTACTCAACTCCCCTCATCTTCCCCCCGCCGGCTGTCAACCAGTCCCTCTCTACAGAGTCAGTCCCACTCCCCTCCTTGCAATAACACCCTCGATCCCTTGAACCTTGCAAAATACCGGCCCATTTCCAATATGTTCTTCCTTGCCAAAGTGCTAGAATGCATTTTTACAGATCAACTTCGCTCACACTTGTCCTTTCACTCCCCACTCGATCCCCTCCAATCTATGTTCTGTTCTTCCCACAGCACAGACAGCGCTCGTCGAAGTCACTATTGATGTCCTCTCTCTCTGTCACCATGGTTCCCTTTGCCTCCTTGTCCTGCTGGAGCTCGCTGCAGTACAGTCGCTCACACTATCCTTCTCCGCCGCCTCTCCTCCCTCATTCTTTCGAGTCTGAATTAACTAACTGCCATCACTTTGTCTCCCCAAACATTTTTTCCTCACACTCCTACACAGGCACCTGCGAGGTACCCCAAGGTTCCATTCCTGCCCCTCTCCTTTTCCTGATTTACATGCTCCCTCTTTGGCAACCAAACCTACTTCTCCTCAGCCAGCTGCGACTCCAAGTCTGCTGATGTTTTGTCAGCTTGTCTGTCAGACACCAAGGCCTGGATGAGTGCAAACTTCCTGCAGCTGAACATCAACAAGACAAGCCATACTCTTTGGCTGCAGCCAACGTCTTCTCTCCTATGGCTCTAACCTCCTCAACATCTGCAGCCCTTCTTTAAGACTTAACGAATCTGTACGTAACCTAGGCGTCAAGTTCAGTCCCTGGCTATTATCCCTCCTACTCCACATCTGGTCCCTAACCAAGACCGCTATCCTCCACCTCCGTTGCACTGCCCATCTCCCTTCTTCACCTCCTGCCTCGACTATTCCATATGCCTCCTAACTGGTCTCCCAAGTTCCAATACCCACAAACTACGACTGTTTCAGAACTCCGCCGCCTGCATACTCACCCACACTAAACTATGTATCCCAATTACACCAGTTCTCAGCAAGCTCCACTGTCTCCCTATCACAGAAAGGATCGATTTGAAGATCCCTTCACTCATCTACAAACCCCTTCACGCCCTGGCACCCTCCCACCCCTAACTTTCCAACCTACTTTCTCCCCAATCCACTACCCGGTCTGGCCTCCTTGCTCGTCCCTTGTCCCTTTCGCTTCACCATTGGCAGCCGTGCTTTAAGCCACTATGCCCTAAAGCTTTGGCACTCTCACTCAATCCCTCCGGGTTTCCCCCTCCTTCTCCTCTTTTAGATCATGACTGAAGACCTTCCTCTTCGACAGTGCTTACGGTCATCTCCTGCCTCCACCAGCTCTGCGTCAGGTTCCACCACTTTTAAGCGCTCTGAGACTGCCCTGCATGAAGTGGGCTTTACGAATGCAAGTTGTTGTTGCCATTCTGTATCCAAAGTTCGATAGTTTGCATTAATTATGAAATAAAGAAAGGTTTTATATGTGGCCAAGTGAATGATTTTAACTGGAATGTAATGTTTTAGGTCCTTTCAACAAAAAAAAACTGAGCAGATGTCAAATAAAATAATCTTTACTTTACAGAGCTGTTATAGAATAAAACCCTACGTTGTCACCACAGAGATCTTCATACACTTGGGATCTGGAACAAACTCTCAAGACAATCTTTGGTGCTGACCATCTGTAAGAGAACACAAACTAAACACACTGCACTGCACTCACAAACTGTCTCCCCACAGTGAACGCGAAGATCACTGAGAAAATGGGAACAAGCACTAGTATTTTACTCGTCCGGTCAAACATTAGTGATTGTATTCTTTAAAAGACACTAAATGCATTATTGTGGCATTGGTGCTGATAGAATTGCTAACATTGCAATTCTATCACTAACTTACCAAATAAAATTGGGTAACTGAAAGGTGATAATGGCTGTCAAAGTACAGTGACACACCACATGTCTACAACTGTAGCCTGTTCAGTTATCCCAGGCAACATATTGTACAAAAATGTATTAGTTCTCCAACCAGATAATCTGAAAGGACATAAGATCCTTCATTGAATCAGGATTACGGATCAATTCCTAATTGTTTTTCACCAATATTTAATGCATAGAGCTCCTTTAAAAGAAACATGCCATTTCTCACCATGCATCATAACTGCACACTTGTGAGGGCTCTCCCATTTCCTTAGTTCAATCGTGATTAAGAGAATATAGCTTAGGTAATATAATAATAACAATCCTTGCATTTGATATAGCGCTTTTCACGTCTTCTAGACGTCCCAAAGCGCTTCACAGAATATACTGTAAAGTGAATTGACTGTACATTTGTGGGCGAATGCGGCAGCCAATTGCGCACAGCAATGTCCCACAAACAGTCGTAGATTGAAAATGACCAATTTATTATTGTTTTTTTTTGGAGGGATTATTATTAGGCTCTGTGTGGAGTAAGGAAACTTGCCCAAGGTTTCACCCTGTCTGGAATTCAACTCAGGTCTCTCGCTTGCAAAGCGAGTGCTCTAACCACTGAGCTACAGGTAATACTCGCTCGACATATTGACGTCTGGGAACATTTCGCATCTAGAAATCTACTGGAGGAGCTTGACTTTGAGAATTTTACATTTAATTTGGTGCCAAAGAACTTCAAAAATCTGGATTCAAAAATTGCAATGAGCATTTCAGTACATCATTATTACCTAACCCATCTTCTATTAATAGTATATTTATTCCTAGGTTTGTTTACTGACAAACTGTACCGCTGCACCATGATGTTCATTTGCAATCTTTCTGTCCTCTTGCCCCACTATCTGCCCATTTTCAATTTGTTTCTTTTTCCGGTTGCCTTTAAGCATTTCTTGGCATGTTCCTGGCTTTTTGCCTATGCTGGGGTTATTGCAGAAAAGAAAAGAAGAGAAAATAATGGTTATTTAAAAAAAATGGAAAGATACTTGTGAAATAAAGCAAAAACATTCTTTAAAGTTATGAGGACAGCAGTAAAAGAGCAATAGACAAAGAGGAGCTGGATGAGAGTGGTTGAAAAGAGTTAGAGCAATACTGCAATAGATTACAATTGTAAATGTTGTAGGAACTTACAAAACAGAAAGTTTAAAGTTAACGTAAAGGTGTAGAATGTAGAACATAAATCTAAAAAAAGATGTTTCAGAGTAATGAAACAGATTACTTACCCGTAAAGTATTTGACCTGATATGAAAGCGTGCTTTGCATAATATCTACATGCCTCCTCTCAGCGATGTCATCTGCAGACATGGGGTCAACTTCAACATGTATGCGGATGACACCCAAATCTACTTCTCCTCCTCCAGCTGCAACTCCCAGTCCGTTGATGTCCTGTCAGCTTGTTTGACAGACATCAAGGCCTGGATGAGTGCAAATTTCCTGCAGCTAAATATCGGCAAGATGGAAGCCATTCTCTTTGGCACCCGTCAACGTCTTCTCTCCTGCGGGTTGGAACTCCTCAACCTCCCCAGGTTCTCTGAACCTGTGCGCAACTTAGGTGTCAGGTTCGACCCTTTCTACGACTCATCTGTTCCCTGCCCACGACTTTTTTCCACCTCTGCCACATTGCCTGCCTCCGTACATACATCAGAACTGACGCAGCTGAAGCCCTTGTCCATGCCTTCATCACTTCCCGGCTAGGCTTACCATCACAAAACTCTGTGCCCACATCATACCAGTCCTTGCCTTGCCACTGGCTCCCAATCATCGAACGGGTCGATTTCAACATCCTCACTCGTTTTCAAATTTCTTCATGCCCTCACACCACCCTGCCTATCCAACCTTCTTACCCCCCACTCCATCACCCGCTGCCTCCACTCGGCTGGCTCCGGCCTCCTGTTTGTCCCTTGTACCCTGTTCCACCATATACACATGCAAGTTGTTGCTTTATTGGAGCAGACAGCAGGAGGAACGTTAATAATAATAATAATAATCCTTACATTTGATATAGCGCTTTTCACGTCGGGAGGACATCCCAAAGCGCTTCACAGAACATACTGCAAAGTGAATTGACTGTATATTTGTGGGCGAACGTGGCAGCCAATTGCGCACAGCAATGTCCCACAAACAGTCGTAGATTGAAAATGACCAATTTATTATTGTTTTTGGAGGGATTATTATTATTATTATTACGTTGCCCTTTAATGACTGATATTGTTAAGGTTGATGTTGAAATCATCATGGCTATTAAGGTATCTATGTCAAATTAAGCTGTGGGGACAAGATCTTTGATGACTTTTATGTGGAGGATGCTTCCATTCAGGAGTTAAGATGACCCCAGAAAGCCAATTTTTAATTTCAATAAACTCTAAATAGGTTTTCCAATCAAATGGTCAGAAGCTGCCATGCTAACCCTAATCCATCTTGTTTCAACCCTAAATTCAGTAGATATTTAAGCTATTAGCTACGTTGTAAAATAGTTCGATTTTTATTTCAAGTCGATCATGATTTTCCACTGGAAGCTCCATTGGCCGAAGATACAATGAGCTGAATGATTCACAAACACAAGTTGCATTCACTCGCAAGCGGCATAAGGAAAGTAACTTCGAAAACAACATAAAATCCATGAATAAACACATTGAAAATAACTGTGTGGATGTGACTGGTTCATCTTTTGCTCAGTTCCTAAGAAATGTGTTCTGAAATACAAGTGCTCAGCCTTGGGCTACATTACAACATAGCTTGTTGAAACAGTTCTACAATATAAAAGTGAAAAAAGAGAATACACAGGTAGGTTAAGTGTACTTGCTGCTAAAGTATTCAACTATCATACTCACTCTCACAGCTGTTTCACTGGCTTCTGGTGTGAAAGACCACGAGACCGATGTAGAGGCTCCAATTATTGATGTAGACTTGAATGTACATGACAATCTGATATTGGTTCCATTTTCAACAATCATTTCAGATGTAGTGTAAATTTGAATGCCAGACACGAAACCACATGCTGAAAGAAATGGGCAGGTAGACACTGAGTAAATTCTGGTAAAAATAGATGACGGTTTAAAACTTATTCTGAAAATTCAGAACTCCAAAAAGCAATTCTTTACTGATTTGAAATAAAAAGCACAAACTTTGGATTATTTGCTTTAACGTTATCAGTATCACATTGTAACTACATTTACTAAAAGTACTGCATTCACTTGAAAGTTCATCTGCTGAAGATAATGGCAGAGACAACCTTATAAATAAAATCATGACTTCAACAACAACAACAAAATTACATTTATAGAGCGCCTTTCACGACGGGAGGACATCCCAAAGCGTTGAACAGTCAGGTGTCGGGGGCCCGAGCATGGGGAGGGGTTGGGTAGGGGTAAGGGACGGCAGAGAGGTGGGAGTGCGACCAAACGCATGGTCGAAGAGAAGGGTCTTGAGACCGGCCTTGAAGGAGGGAAGGGAGGAAGAGAGGCGAAGGGACTGTGGGATGGAGTTCCAGAGTGTGGGGGCAGAGAGGCTGAAAGCCCGGACACCGATGGCAGGGCGGGACGGGCTGGAGACATGGAGCAGGCCGGAGCCCGCTGAACAGAGGGAGCGGGCAGGTTGATAAGGAGTCAGCAGGTCAGAGAGGTAGGAGGGGGCAAGGCCATGGATGGTCTTGAAAGTGAAGATGAGAATCTTGAACTCGATCCTCTGGGGGATGCGGAGCCAGTGGAGTTGGGCGAGGGTTGGAGTGATGGGGTCACGGAGCCTGGTGCGCAAGAGTACACGAGCTTCAGAGTTTTGGATGATCTGCAACTTGTGAAGGGAAAAGTTGAGAAGGCCATTGAGGAGGGCGTTTCCGTAATCGAGCCTTGATGTGACGAATGCGTTGGTGAGGGTTTCGGCAGCCTGAGGGGTGAGGTAGTGGTGGAGTCTGGCAATGCTGCGGAGGTGGTGGTAGGCAGTGCCGGTCATGGCGCAGATGTGGGGGAGAAAGGACAGTTCAGGGTCAATCAAGACACCCAAGTTTCTGACTGGCTCGCGCCAGCGCCACTGCACCTCAGGCTCTGGCAGCATTAACCTCCATGGTTGCACACTATAACTCACCAAGCCAGTCAGGAACCTAGATGTCTTGCTCGACCCTCAACTGTCTTTTCTTGTCACATCCAAGCCATGATCCGCTCTGCCTTCCCTCACCTCTGCAACACCACCCAACTTCGCCACTACCTCACCCCTCAGGCCGCTGAAACTCTTGTTCATACCTTCATCACCTCCAGGCTTGACTATGCAAATGCCCTGCTTGTTGGCCTTCCCAACTCCTCCCTCCACAGGCTGCAGATAATCCAGAACTCTGCAGCCGGTGTCCTCTCCCGCACCAAACTCCGTGACCCCATCTCCCCCATTCTCGCCTGTTTCCATTGGCTCCCTATCCTTCAGAGGATCTAGTTCAAGTTCCTGGTCCTCATCTAGAAAGCCCTCCATGGCCTCGCCCCACCCTACCTCTGTGACCTCCTAACCCCCTACCAACCCACCCGCTCCCTCCACTCAGCCGGCTCTGGCCTGCTCCACGTCCCCCGACCCATCCGCCCCACTATTGGCGGGAGAGCCTTTAGCCACTCTGTCCCCAACCTCCGGAATTCCATCCCCCAATCACTCCACCTCGCCCCCTCCTTAGCCTCCTTCAAGTCCAGCCTCAAGACCCTCGTCTGTTCCTCGTCCAGAGGGGTAGCTCATCTGACTAACTTCTCACATTTCTGTGAATTAAACTTGAGAAGCAAACGAGTACCTTAATGTTGGTGGGTTTACAATTATAAATAGCAACTATGTTAGTTGGATAGCTGTGCTCAGCCTGGCTCAATTGGTAGCACTCTCAACCCACGTTGTTGGTTCTTCCTGGCTAACAATCCCACATATAAAATTGTTCACTCACTGCATATTGGTTTGTAAGACATTGCTGTGTGCAAATTGGGTTTATCATTCGCTTACACACATACAAGTCATTAAACTTCATGATTAAAATCGTTGATGTGCTTCATCAAATCTAGACCACAGGATTAGGCACAAATGCAAGGATTATTACTAAACATTTGGACAGACGTTCCATAATCAACAATGGGAAAATTACAACAATACAGTGGGCAGCCAAGTAACCACCCACTGCCTATCTACATAATAATAATAATAATAATCTTTGCATTTGATATAGCGCTTTTCACGTCGGGAGGACGTCCCAAAGCGCTTCACAGAACACACTGTAAAGTGAATTGACTGTATATTTGTGGGCGAACATATCTGCTTATCTCTATTGGCACCACAAGGATAGATTTTTTTCCATACTGGACTATCTTTCCCAGCTCCAGTACAGCAGTTTCAACTGATTCAGTTCACAAACTCGGTTTGGTGCAACAAAGTGCTTGTTGCCCAAGCTCTCTCTGAAACACACCCATTACCACCAACCGTGCAAAGCTGATTGTCTCAATACCTCAGAGCATCAACTGTTCTTCAAGTCCCAACAAAGGATCACCCCACTCTCGCTTTGCAAACGTCTGCAGCCCTATATTCTAACTCGTATTTTGTATCTGGAAGGATGAGATCAAATGGGCCAGAGAGTTTTCTTCATTGAAAATAACCTTATGTAAATGACTAATAACTTCAATCCCCATTCCTGGACAATATATCTTGTGTAATACACTGCATGTCAGAACATGAATATTAACAGGTCTTGCCAGTATAGTGGGAAGACAAACCATTGCTCACAAACCCTTGGGACATCCTTCCGACGTGAAAGGCACTTTACAAATGTAATTCTATCCGATTTACTTCTGTTTTCAGCATCGGTTTTCTGCCCCCAAATTAATTATAACAAATTTTAAAAGTGAATTTTCAACGAAAATGCACTTTCACATATAGAAAATACTAACTTGCATTCAATAGTTATATTTGCCAGAGATGCTTAACATATCATTGTATCTTATATCAGTCATCCTCAGCCCTCTCTGAGCGAGAATCAGTTCAAGGTGCTCAGAAATCCCAACCACAACATTTTAAAACTGGGTGGCAAATGGAGCTCTATTGGATAAAGAGACTGTCTAGTGAGATAGAAGGTTATAGGTTAGAGCTTTGCAAAAAGCTGGTTTTGAATGTGGTAAAAATTGAAGTAGGGAGGGCAAAAATCCAACAGGATTCATGGTACTGCTCTCTGTGTAATGAACAACCTCATGTTGATGAGCTTGCTCCTTATCCACTTCATAAACACTAAACTGGCAAAACAGTTTGGAAAAGTTAAAACTAAATGACCTTTGGGACTGGGAGGCACGTTATTCTAGGAGGGGTTGTTACACTGGCATGAATTAATGTTTTCAAAAAAATAAAGAGTAGCCCCTGGGAAAAAGAGAATATGCTCTGAAACACATGAGAATATGAACCATTCTGCTCCCTCCTTGATAAACTTCAGACACTGTATCAAAACAACCCCGGCTGCTGGTAATACGGAAGTGATGGAGAAAAGGGAAGAGAAATCTGTATAAGCAGAAGAGAACCAGGGAACTCTCCAGAGGCTTTTTTGTTGCTACGGGCATCTTGTGCATCTCAAACACAGCTGGTCTTGCCTCTCACTACAACAGCAGGAGAGGCTGAACTGACAGCCAGCTTATGATAGTATGAGTGGCCCTGATAATATTACAGCTATAGTGCCAAATAATACTATTATTTAAATACAGTAGTTCCAAAACAATAACATCATTTTTGTTAAAAGTTAAAACACATTGTGCAATAAAGATGGCTCGGGCCAGAAATTCAACACTTTGTTTTAACTATTTCAGATTGCTTGCTGTTGACTATTTTAGACTATAAATCAGCTGGTCACAGAACACGCTATTCAATAAGAACAGCTCAGTATCCAGATTTCCTTTGGAACTCCATCCCGCAGTCCTCCCGTCTCGCCCCCTCCCTGGCCTCCTTCAAGACCCATCTCAAGACTTTCCTCTTCGACCGTGCCTTCAATCACCCTCCTTCCCCCCCCTGCCCTCCATCCTCCCCAATCCCGACCCCCAGCTCGGATCTGAAACACTGACTCTCCAGCGCCTTGGGATGTCCTCCCGATGTGAAAGGCGCTCTACAAATGTAATTTCGTTGTTGTTCCTTTGGCTGTGCTCAATTTTTAACAGCACGCAGAAAACCAAACCAAAGAAGCTTTTTTTTTTAATGGGAATTCATGCAGAACTGTGGAATTTTTTCACAATTAGAAACTGATTGAGCCAGCCCAAACTCATTTCACATAAGATAATTAGAAGCCAATGGAGAGGAAACATTCATCCCATCAGCATGGGCTGGGCACAAACTCTGGCCCAGTGGGGAAAGGGTATTTTTGTGTTTAGTAGTAGATACGAGTGAAAGAAAACAAAATATTGAATTTGGTTCCTCTGATCCAGCCAACCAGGAATACACTGGTCCCTCATTGATAGATGCTACAGAAAATTGAGAGTGTGGAGCTACCCAGCATCCTGTTATGCTTATCCACCGAGAGAAAAAAAATATTTTTCACTCTTTAATAAAGAACCTATCTAAAAGTACTCTATCAACTGGATTTTTGCGGGTGAATCCCCAAACCATTACAAAATGAACTTTTTCATCCTGTTCATTAAAATACCTTCTGTGTGGCCCTTAACCACTGGGAGGTAAAACAAGAGCAGGTATAAAATAAAGTTAGGCATTCTATCATTTCAGATCCACTAGGCATCTAAGCAAGCATTAAGTTATAAAACTAATTCTCTACCTCAGCACCAATCCACCCGACCATTTCACCTGAAACAGTCAATAACACTCGAGGCTTGAGTCAACAATGCTAAGGCACCATCAAGTAACTCTTTTCTGAGAGGTTTATGGATTGGTTCCAAAATATTCTTATGGACATGACTGATAAATGAATGACAGTCCAATACAGCTCTGGTGGCATGCGGATTGTTGGATATGCCATCCTTTGGATAAGACGTTAGACCAAGGTCCCTTCTGCTTCTTCACATTGACGATAAAGATCCATTAGCACTACTCAAAGAGAAAGGAGACTTATCTTGGTGTTCTTGCCAACAATCCCCCAAATAAAATGTCATCATTTGGATTGAGTCACCACTGTGCACAAATTGGCTGACATAATATTCCTTGCAGTTGGTACATTCAAAAGATCCAGCTCATTCAAACTCTGCCGCCCGCATACTGACCCGGACCAAACTCCGTACCCACCAGTTTTCTGGCCAGGCTCCACTGGCTTCCCATCACCAAATGGATCGACTTCAAGATCCTCACACTTGTGTTCAAATCCATTCACTCCCTGGCACCTCCCTACCTCTCTGACCTCCTCACTCCCCAGTCCACTGGCCCTGGGCTCCTGCTCGTCCCTCGTACCCCACCATCGGAGGTCGCGCCTTCAACCACCACACCCCAAAACTCTGGAACGCTCTCCCTCAACCCCTCCGCCTTGCCCCCGCTCTCCCCCTTTTCCAAGTCCCGCCTGAAAGCCTTCCTCTTCGACCGTGCATATGGCTACCTCCCCCACTGACTCAGATTCTCAGAGTCAGGCTCCGCCACTGTTATATAAGTGCAAGCTGTTGTTGGTGTTGTACAGAATCTTTCATGTCGTGAGCACCTCCCACAAAGTGGATTGCGTATTTTGTACGCAAACACAGCAGACCAACGTCCCTATGATTACTGTAAATCCTGTGAAGCACTTTGAAACATCTTCCTGACATGAAAGGCACTGTATCAAATTGAAAGGTTACCATTATCTCTACTGTTCAGAACAACCATCCCATTTCTCCCCCCGACATCCACCCACCCTTCATCAGAGCAGCATGAGGCACAACAACTGAAACATAAATCTATGCATATCTTACAGGTGAGGAACAATGACTCTGGTGCATTTCCTGCAGTTAAATATAAGATATAAAGCATATTGCACTGCTGAGTCCTGAAACCTGGAACTCAAGTAGTTGTGATCCTGGGGGCACCGAGTGTAATTTAACCATACCACAACACAGCAAAAAATAGGTGGAGTAGAAGATAGACTGTAGATGGGTGCAGCATTTTAATTATCCTACCAGACATTACTATTACTGGGTTAAGGTATTATGATGCACAGTTTATTTTATACCTGCCCTTATTTCACATTCCCTGAGCCTGAGCACAGCACCCACCAGTATTTCTGTTCAGTGACTGGTTTTGATCTACATGTGTGTGTGTGTGTGTGTGTGTATATGTGATGTGTGTGTATGTGATGTGTGTGTGATGTGTATATGTGATGTGTGTGTGGGTGAAATGTGTGTGTGTGATGTGTTTGCATGTGTGTGTGTGTATGTGATGTGTGTGTATGTGATGTGTTTGTATGTGTGTGTGTGTGTGTGTGTGTATGTGATGTGTGTGTATGTGATGTGTGTGTATATGTGATGTGTGTGTGGGTGAAATGTGTGTGTGTGATGTGTTTGCATGTGTGTGTGTGTATGTGATGTGTGTATAAGTGATGTGTGTGTGTATGTGATGTGTCTGTGTGCATGTGATGTGTGTGCATGTGTGTGTGTGTGTGTGTGTGGGGGGAGGTAGAAGGAAGAAAGAAATAAAACGAACCATTGTGTCTGCCCTCTCTCCCTCCCCGTCCCTGCAGCACAGACAGACAGACAGACACACGGAGAACCCCCCCACACCCCCCACCCCCTCCATTTGTAAAACCCCTTCAAATGCCTCACGATCAAAGGCTTCTCCTAACGACGCCAGAGATCAAACACCCGCGGACAATGGTGGTGGTGGGGGGGAGAGGGACAGAGAGAGAGAGGGAGAGGGGGGAGGGAGGGGGACAGACACCCACCCACACACCCACCCACACGCGCCGCCCAGCGCTTCTGCTGCCTTACCCGCTAACAGCAACACCAACTCCGCCACAAAGCCCTCCATCGCCCCGAAGAGAAGGCGATTTAAAAATCACTCACTCGCTCTCTCTCTCTCCCTCCCTCCCTCCCTCGCTCTGGCCCCTCCCACTTCTGGTGAGCAGGCGACCAGGCAGGGAGGGGGCGGTCCCGCCCGGCTGGCCCTTCGCCCATTGGCTGTCCCGGCGCCGTGACGTCACGGAGGCCGCGCGTTACAGTTGGTCGGATCAGCCATCGGTCAGCCGGTCTCGCCGCCCCGCCCCCCGAACACGCGCCCCGCCCCTCCAACACGCGCCCCGCCCCCAAACACGCGCCCCGCCCCCCAAAACATGCCCCGCCCCCACCGCCACCACCACAACAACAACACGCACTTCCACAGACAAAACACTTAACGATGCAGGAAATCTCTGTGAACCACGTCGGAAGCGGCCCGGGAACACTCAGCCAGCGGGGGGGGTCGGGCGGCATCTGGGGAGAAAGGAGAGTGGGGTCAACGTTTCGGGTCCGCGGCCCCTTCGGCTGAGCGGAAGGGGAACTGACGAGGAAGGGGTCGTGGCCCCGAAACGTTGACCTCACTCTGCTTTCTCCGTAGATGCCGCCCGAGCCCCGCTGGCTGAGGGTTCCCGGCCACTTCTGGATTTTTCGTTTCGCACTTCTAATATAGACCAGTCCTGCAGCACTCCTTCTGTTAATAATAATAATAATAATAATAATAATCCTTGCATTTGATATAGCGCTTTTCACGTCGGGAGGACGTCCCAAAGCGCTTCACAGGACACACTGTAAACTGAATTGACTGTATATTTGTGGGCGAACGCGGCAGCCAATTGCGCACAGCAATGTCCCACAAACAGTCGTAGATTGAAAATGACCAATTTATTATTGTTTTTGGTTTTTGGAGGGATTATTATTAGGCTCTGTGTGGAGTAAGGAAACTTGCCCAACAACAACAACAAGATTCCATTTATATAGCGCCTTTCACGTCAGGAGGACGTCCCAAGGCGCTGCACAGTTGGGTCATGACCCGAGCAGGGGGGAAATGGTCAGGGTGAGGGGAGGGAAGGGAGCAAGGAGGGGGGAAATGGTCAGGGGGAGGGAAGGGAAGGAGCGAGGAGGGGGAAGAGAGTCGAGAGGGGAGCTGAAGGCTCGGTCAAAGAGAAAGGTTTTGAGACTGGCCTTGAAGGAGGAAAGGGAGGAAGCAAGGCGAAGGCACTGGGGGATGGAGTTCCAGAGCCCAAGGTTTGGCCCTGACCTGCCTGGAATTGAACTCAGGTCTCTCACTAGCAAAGCGAGTGCTCTAACCACATAACTAGAGGACTGTTGATATCTGCCAAAGACTTTGATCAGTTGGGAATTTTGCTTCACTGCCCAGCCTGACTGTGATTCTTATCATTCCCACAGGTAACTGGATTGCATCCGAAGCTGATACAGATATTTTTTTCATGGGAACCGAATCTTAACTCCAAGTGCATCTGGAGTTGGGATCACAGACTCCCCAACTCCACATGTACTAAAATCCGCACCCCCACACCACATGGGACGTTCTCTACCTGAATCGGCTTCCAGCATCAACTAATTGCCTCAGCTGCTATTGTACTGTCAAATGCAAAAATCATAACTTCTATTTTTAATGCACTCAAAAAATCCACACCTTAATATTACTCTTGTTTCTTGTAATGAAATGGAGTTCTCTGTAAACTATTTTACACTTAGAATACAATATTGCAGCTGAAGTATAACTATATATGATGTGCACTGATATTGTTCTTTAATGTGATAGTTCACTTTAGTAAGTGTTTGTGGAAAGGGATTGGAATCATGTAAATTTTACTTTTGGATGCACCAAGGCAGAACAATAATAAGACAGGTTTAGAATTGTAAAGGGCAATTTCAAGAAGGACTCCAGGAAGTATTTAATTACCTTGAGGGTAATTAATATCTGAAATTGCCAGGAAGGTAGTTAAGGCCAGTATGCAAGACTTTTTAAAAAAAAACAGCTTAATGCTGTGATGAGATATGCTTCTGGAAAGATGAGAACAAATAGGCTGAAGGATCTTCTTCCTCTAAACCGATTTTGTGAGTACGTCTTGGTAAGCACTTGTGGTAAGGATTGGAATGGAAGTAATGTACGAAAGTCCTCCTTGATAAGCGCGTATGGTAAGGGTGGGAGGAAGGTTTACTTGGCAGGGTGAATTCTTTCTCAATATTATCATATTTGGTAATAGTGTGACAAAATGGTTTACTGACTTTCCTGGTCACGTAGAACTTGAATTGAGACTTTGTTGTACATTGCTTTGTTCTCAAATTGTTTCATCATATAGAGATGTGCTTCAATTGTGTTTGTGATTTGCTTTTGCTATTGTGATTTGTGCAGCATTTCTTAATTAAAGTATTGAATTTAAGCCACAGTGTTTTGTAGTTAAGTGTTTGGACTACGAATTTGTGCAAACTATTTGGATTTTTTGGAGGGGTTTTATACTGATTTCCAGATAGAATGTATTTGTGGTTTTGGCAGTGCATTGCCGTTCAATTTGTTGCATAACCACAGATGATGCAAATCGATTCAAACTCACCTCATCCGTGGGCCTATAAACGTTGACCGGTATTGTAAGAGATCACTTACGACGGTTATTAAGGAGACAATCGCACAAATTCTTCAACAAAACCGGTTTGCAAAGCTCCCTTGTTTAGGTGCCGTTGCTCATGCGCAGAGCAGAGCTGTCCTGAGTCCTTTCTGACGAAAGGTAGTGGACATGAAACATTGCATCCACGGCTGCACACACAACTTCTCTAAGCCAGTCAGGAACCTGGGTGTCTTGTTTGACCCTGAACGGTCCTTTCTCTCCCACATCCGCGCCATGACTGGCACTGCCTACCACCACCTCCGCCACATTGCCAGACTCCGCCACTGCCTCACCCCTCAGGCTGCCGAAACCCTCACCCACGCATTCATCACATCAAGGCTCGATTATGGAAACTCCCTCCTCCTCGGCCTTCCCAACTCTTCCCTTCACGAGCTGCAGATCATCCAAAACTCACCAGGCTCCGTGTCCCCATCACTCCGACCCTCGCCCGACTCCACTGGCTCCCCATCCCCCAGAGGATCGAGTTCAAGATCCTTGTCCTCACCTTCATCCATGGCCTTGCCGCCTCCTACCTCTCCAACCTGCTGACTCCCTACCCACCTCCGTTCAGCAGGCTCAGACCTGCTCCATGTCTCCTGCCCGACCCACCCGACCATTGGTGTCCGGGCTTTCAGCCTCTCTGCCCCCACACTCTGGAACTCCATCCCACAGTCCCTTCGCCTCGCTTCCTCCCTCGGCTCCTTCAAGGCCGGTCTCAAGAGCCTCCTCTTCGATCCTGCCTTCGGTCGCCCTCCCAGCTCTCTGCCTTCCCTAACCCCCACGCTCGGATCCTGACCCCTGACTGTCCAGCGCCTTGGGACGTCCTCCCGACGTGAAAGGCGCTCTATAAATGTCGTTTTGTTGTTGTTGTTGACTCACTTGCCTCTCTCCATAGATGCTGCCTGACCTGCTGAAGTGTTCCCAGCCATTTCTGCTTTTTTTTTAATCTCCTGAGTCCTGTCCAGTGCGGTTAGGAGTTGGGACTATGTTCACTTGTTCCTTGCTCCTAGTTGTGTTATCATATGACACCGCGTCGTTTTGCTTCCACAAACTGGACATCAGTTCAATTAGATTGCGTGAAGGAACCGCGGCAGTAGGACCAGCGAGGTCGGTGTGTTAGTTTGGGGTTGTTCTTTTTTAAACTCGCTTTACTATGTCCTGCTTATATTTGAACATTCCTGGCTATCAGGGAAACCGTAAAGAAAAATACAGAGAAGCAAATAAAACAAACCTGTCTGTGAATTCCTGATCACATGATCGGCGTTCAATAATAGTAAAGGTTGGTGTGGTTATAAGTTAGGGGCGAGGGGAGGAGAGGGGAGAGGAGGGGAGGAGAGGAGGGGAGGGGAGGGGAGGCGAGAGGAGAGGAGGGGAGGGGAGGGGAGGAGAGGCGAGAGGAGGGGAGGGGAGAGGAGGGGAGGAGAGGCGAGAGGAGGGGAGGGGAGGAGAGGAGGAAGGGGAGGGGAGGGGAGGCGAGAGGAGGGGAGGGGAGAGGAGGAGGGGAGGAGAGGCGAGAGGAGGGGAGGGGGAGAGGCGAGAGGAGGGGAGGGGAGGAGAGAGGAGGGGAGGAGAGGGGAGAGGTGAGGCGAGAGGAGGGGAGGCGAGGGGAGAGGTGAGGCGAGGGGAGAGGTGAGGCGAGAGGAGGGGAGGCGAGGGGAGAGGTGAGGCGAGGAGGGGAGGCGAGGGGAGAGGAGAGGTGAGGCGAGGAGGGGAGGCGAGGGGAGAGGTGAGGCGAGAGGAGGGGAGGCGAGGGGAGAGGTGAGGCGAGAGGAGGGGAGGGGAGAGGCGAGGGGAGAGGTGAGGCGAGAGGAGGGGAGGGGAGAGGCGAGAGGAGGAGAGGTGAGGGGAGGTGAGGGGAGAGCTCGTGAGAGGAGGTGAGGCGAGGGGAGGCGAAGGGAGGAGAGGCGAGAGGAGGCGAGGGGAAGAGAGGGAAGGGGAGAAGAGGGGAGGAGAGGCGAGGCAAGGGGCAAGGAGAGGTGAGGCGACGTGAGGCAAGGGGAGGAGAGGTGAGAGGAGGCGAGGAGAGGAGAGGTGAGAAGAGGCGAGGGAAGGAGAGGTGAGAGGCGAGGGGAGAGGTGAGAGGCGAGGGGAGAGGAGGCGCGGTGAGGGGAGGCGAGGGGAGGAGGCGCGGCGAGGCAAGGGGAGAGATGAGGCGAGGGGAAGGGAGAGGCGAGGGGAGAGGGGAGAGGAGAGGGGAGAGGGAGGCGAGGGGAGAGATGAGGCGAGGGGAGAGATGAGGCGAGGGGAGAGATGAGGCGAGGAGGCGAGGCGAGGGGAGAGGCGAGGGGAGAGGGGAGAGGAGAGGCGAGGGGAGAGGCGAGGGGAGAGATGAGGCGAGGAGGCGAGGGGAGAGGCGAGGCGAGGGGAGAGGAGAGGGGAGAGGAGAGCGAGGGGAGAGGAGAGGCGAGGGGAGGGGAGAGGGGAGAGGAGAGATGAGGCGAGGAGGCGAGGGGAGAGGAGAGG